TTAATATTGTTAGGGAGTCAGCCCAACATTGGCAAAGCGCCTAACTAGGGCCCAAAAATAAGTTAGCAATGATGTCCTACCCATGTGACCAGCAACAAATGGGCCAATTAGGTAAGGACATGTAGCAAGGTGTTATAAATAAGTACTATAAACACCCATCTTTTTCCTCCATAAAAAATAATAACTTCATTGCATTTCTCTCTTTATAATATTTAGTTTTAAGAGTCTCTTTTTTTAGAGTAACTGAATATTGTTAATTTGAGTATTGGAGTATTTTACTAAGGAATATTTTTTTTTGAGATTTTTAGGTATCGGAGCAGTTCAAGACCTTAACAGTAAATGAGCTCATGAAGCTGCAGAAACAAATACCTTGCCAAAAAATCTCACTGCCCTTCCTGATATTCTTAATCATAGGGGAAGCTTTATTTGGGAGATTCGCAGGAGTATCGCCTATCCTATATTTGGAAGCGATGGTCGTTGATGCATTTTAAATGAAATGATTAATTACAATTTAATCTTTAAAATAGTCAAATTTAAAGTAAAAGTGATAAGCTAAATTTATACACATATTAATAGAAAATTTTTACTTTAATATTATTGATATTTGGATGAATTTTATGGGATTTTGTTTGATTTTACATGGTTTTCATTCTTTGTGTAGGAAAGGATTTAATTTGAAGAAATCCTAATTTTTAGAAGTAAATTGAAGAGATTAGAGACTTGAGGATCAACTTGTGCAGAATCTAGAAGTCAGGAACCAAATCTGCTATTTTACCATTGAAGAAATTACAAAAGGAGACCAAAAACCCGACACGGGTGTAGTGTCGACACGTAACCGAGGTGTCGACACCATGCGCTAAGCGTCCAGAATCAGATTCTGTTTCCTATTTTGTGTCAACACGTAATTCGAAGTGTCAGCACCACGCGATCAGCATCTAAAATTCAGTTTCCTATTTCTATTCCAAGTCCTACTTCTATTTTAATTAGGATTTTTAAAATCCTATAAATACCCATCCAAATTCATAATTAAAGAGAGCTCTGGGAGGCTTATGGCAGCCCTCTTTTGGGCATTATTGGAGATCGAGATTGAGGTTCCATCAACAATAGAAGATCAAGGAGTTCGATTTCTTCAAATTGGATTTTATTTTTCCTTGGGTTTTTATCTATTGTTTGATATTTGAATGTTCATAACTTTGATTTCATATTTTATTCTTTTTATTATGAACTGATTTATTTTATTAAGACTATGATGCAGCCTAATCAATTCAATATAGATTTTGTGATTTTATATTTTCAATTAAAGTTATTTGCATGAGGAGTTTATATTATTGAACTTAATACATTGGAAGCCTGATCATCTTTCAATTGATTTAGTGATTTATGCATGAACTTGAGAAAGAATAGCGTAGATTAGACTAATAATAATATAAACCGTGTGCTAGACTATGAAACTGAGAGGTAATTAGCTCACATGTGGTAGTGGAGGAAGAGAAGAGGCTCCCCCTTCTTAAGCTAGAGGTTTCCATAGAATCTAATGCTCATTAGTTTGTTTAAAATTACATAAAGATATGATTAATTTAACAAACCAGTGAAGGATTAACTTAACTTGAGAAAGCTATTTAATTAATATAGGGAAATCCGTCATCACATGTAATAACATTCAACAATTTAGTAATCCAGAATTTATATTGATTGATTATGGTGAAGTCAATGCCTTAGTACCTTATATCTTGGTTAGTTTTATTTTAATTGTTAGTTTCTTTTTGTTATTTTAATTAAAATTCCATCTTTTCGATAGTTCAAATAAATTTAAATTAATTATTTTGGTACTTAGTTAGACACAATTCTCGTGGGTTCAACACTCTTCTCATCATTATATTACTTGGGGCGACTAGTACACGTATTAAGGTGATTTTAGTGCATAAAAAAGCAGTGGTTAAACTTTAAGAAAATATTAAATATGACTAATTTTCAGTAATTCAACTTTTTTTTTCCATGATCAATTCAATTTTGGCTTTGATGTCCAATTA